CTTCTTCTCTATGACCTCAGTGTCTGTAATCTTTTCCTCTCTTAACTTTCAGCATTTATGGAAGCAACTCGGATGAAAGTGATTTCATTTTCTTGCCTGCGTTTTATAAAACATCCATCTGTTCACTCCGTCGGCTGTCGACTTTGCCTTGCCCTTTTTTTCTCGTTAAGGAGGGAGCTGTTGAGATTCGGACTACGTTACAGCAAAAAAGGGTCCTACTGGCGTCAATGATCCGAGTTTCAACGTCGTAGCCAATTTTGCGGTTTCTAGAAATGGTACTTAATTTATCTGCAGCTGCATGGCGGTCTCTGTAGTACTTGCCGCGGGTTCGTTGCATTTCTTAGTTTGTGCGGGTTGATAAATGACCATTGACTTCGTGCCATTAGCTAGTGTGAAGTTTGACTAACCAGAGGCAAGAGGGTCCCATTACATTTCTGATTCATTTCGGTCGGTGCTCAGACACAGCTATTCAGTCTGTTTCTGCCGTAACTTGAACAGTTTATTGTCAGCTCCGTAACAGGTAGATTTCCGGCCGATCCTCACGGTAGACATCCACCAGCCTCACCAGGAGCACGTAAAATGGAAGGGTATAAACGTATTATACTGTATGTTAAATATAAAATCTTAACGATCGTTTATTTGACTAACGCGCTATAATACCTTCGTAGATTTTTTTCATAAATCGTTCAAGACATCCAGAGCCAGCCACATCGCACGTCGTCAAAGGTATTTTTGCGCCGGCGAAAAATATTAGAGGTGCCTCCCGTCTGGCAAAATGTCCACACTGTCAAACCACAAAGATAATTCTGTGATTCTGTGGCCTTTCAGAAATTAACATTGAGTTTCAGGTGTAAAATAAGGCTACTGATACAAGCGTTAGTGAATACGTTTTGTCGCACAGCTGGAGAGGGAAATGCCGCAGTGATTGTTACCTAGTTGTCTGAAGGCAGTGGTGACGTCTCTGAAATATCACATTTGCGCATGTCTCTTGAGTTATTGGGGTCAGCTGGTACGCTTCATAATGGATGCCAACAATTTTCCGTTGTTTGCCTTACTGTTACGGTCGGTCATCTTCTTTTCCCCATAGCCCCAACTTGGAAGCAAACTGTAATCTGTGTAGATTTAATCCTATGCACATTTCTCATATGGATACTTACTGCATACCACATGAATCTGCTACTGCTGCTGCCAATTTGTATCCTTCTAGCATGAGATAGCCCTCTGTATTTTCACCCGAGCCTCATGCGTCTTCTGAAATTGTGCCTTAACACACCTTTTAGTTTAAGGTCTGCCTAAAGAAGAATGCTGAAAACCTTTACAGTTCGTCCGCTCTGCGTCATTCGCTCACTTACAGTTACGCCACTGTCTGCAAAATTCGCCTCCAAGCACCTTCATCAGAAGGCTGTCGACACGAGAACAATCCAGCACCTTCTTGATCATGATAACTTTGAGCACAGGGAGCAAATGAGGACTGTACTCCTGGATGATTTAATGACACCCAGGTAGGTCCGATAGTTACATCTACATTTGCACAACCAACAGGTACAACATTTCTTTGCAAGAAGAGCGAGAAGTAGCCTTGGCTCGGTTAAAACTACTCTGTGATAACAAATTGATCTCAGTGAAGGACTTCCTGTCCAACCCAAAGCGCATTTTTTCCGCGCACGAATTGTCAGCTGTACTCGATCCATCCATGACTACCAAAATGACCGTGCAGTTTAATCTCTTCGGCGGTACTGTTCTCAAACTCGGTACTGAAAAGCATCATCAAATACTCGATGGGGTTGATTCTCTAGAGGTACGTCCAGTTGTTCCCTCAATATTGTCCTTTAGAAGGCTTTGACAGTGTTTAATTAATTTAAATATCACTATGCTTGGAGGTTTTACTGTTCATTTTTAGCCGTACCTAATGAGTAGTTTGACCTTAACTCACCTTGATGGCTCATCTTTGCAGACGGGCAATATTGTTGGCGAATATTGTTACCTTCTGCATTCTGTTAATTGGGACCCCATTAAACCTTGCGTTTTTTAACCCCTCTAGGAAGTTGGCTGCTTCGGTCTCACCGAACTGGGTTATGGCAACAATGCTGTGGAGATGGAAACCACTGCCACCTACGACAAACAGAAACAAGAATTTGTCATAAACACGCCCACACCCAAGGCGTCTAAGTACTGGATCACCAACGGAGCCCTTCATGCGCATCATTGTGTCGTCTTTGCGCAGATGTTTATTGATGGTCAGCACTACGGTGTTCACACGTTTTTGGTCCCCATCCGAAGTAAGGATTTGCAGGCAAGTCGAACCGCCTGTTTGCGGGTGGATACTTGTTTTTTAAACCTAGATACACCCATAGGCAGGCTTGCTTGTATCGAGTTGGCACAAAACAAGTGCTAGCCTTTAATACGAGGCCCTTAATAAGCATAACTCGACTCAAAGCAGATTTTATTAACCAAAATAAAGTATATGCACAAGTATATATGCATTTTTGTCGGTTATTTGTTCCATAACGATATTGTACTGGAGTTCTGTAGTCGGAGCACTATCTGAGGATATTTACGGTTACCGCAAAGCATTCTCTCTTCCCCTCTCTCTCCCCCTCTCTCGCGAGTCGTGGTCGATATGTTTAAAAAATTAGTAAATCCTCGAAGAGGAGTCTAACGAACATACTGGACGAGACAGCATTTCACAGCCTAATTTGCAAAGCGCCTTCTTGTGTACCCGATGGTTAAGCGTCGCCTGTATAACGTAAGCTTCCTTTGGTTGATTTGTACTGGATTTTTATCGCTGAAGTTTCTGTCCATGTAACCCGAATTCACTATGTTGTAGCTAATGATGTCTGTCGACCAGACCACCAGACAACGGCTATTGCCTAAGACGTACCTTAGATGTAGGGGACCATTTTGACGCTGGTCGCCAGTGTTTGTTGTGAGGATCCACATTTTGTCACACCCGACAGTCCGATCGTGAAACGATTCATTTATATCACGCTACAGAAGCGGGTTTATTGATTTTCGTTAAGTTTATGTGAAATCCATTTTTAGAGCTTTTCCGCCTTCCCAATTTGATTTATTTGGCGAGCAAGAGTTGAATGAGCAATATTTGCGTCTTACACCACCTCTCGAGCAATTTTCGCAGATAAGGCTCAAAAAATATCCAGAGTTAGTCGTCATCAACAGTAAAGGGATGTCCCCGACCTTCTTACTACTGAAAGTCCTGGTTTACATCCCAAAACTTTCTAAACCGCGGTTTAGCCGTGTTTTCCTTTTATCTTCTCTCAAAAAATACATAATTTGGATTTCACGTTGTTGCCCTCGTTGTTCGTCGAAGTTCAAGGAGGCATACAAATACTCCTTTCGTGTTCACCAATATCTGTGCTTGTGATCTCAACTACGAAAGCATAATTTATAAAAGAAACATTAGTTTGAGTAAATAGACACATCTCAGTCTCTTGCTTTCTGTAAATCAGTTTTGCCTGATCTGTCAAGCAGCATCTAGGCGTACATTGTCTCATAGGTAAGCCTGCAGCCGATTAGGACGGTAATGACTTAGCCGCAAATAACTTAGTTTGATGTTACTCCTTCTACAGCGTTTTCTCTTTCCATCGACCGACCTCGCTTTCCAAAGCAGTGCTATACCTATTCCTTGATGGTTTAAAAGGATGATATGCAAAAACCGGATTATATTATGGGGCACGTCAAGAAGAACTTGAATAGCTGGTTCGTGTATCTTCGCTGTCGAAACTGATCTGAATCTACCGATTCATTGTCCTGATGATCCGGCTAACCTTTGCATTCCTCCCCACCGGCTAACGTCAGTGGAGCCTGTCTGCGTTGATTGCGGTTTTTGGCCTCGAGATTGTCAATAGATTCTCAGCTTCTTCACGTAAGTGCGGCTAACCGTCAGATAATTAATTTGCGCAGTAAATCCTCACAAAACGCTTCTAAAAACCATTGTTGACGCTTGCTGCGTACTGTTTTATGTCCCCGCAGGGCTCTTCAACCAGGATTTTTAACAGAATGACATATCTGACAAAGACGGGGAGGACTGGGATGACCATTTTTGGCTTGTAAGACATCATCAGTCGGCCATACGCGATCCCAACTAGTGCTGCAGGCGAACTCGCGACTTGTTGATCAGAAGTCCAACGCCCTAAGCGTTGATCCACGGGCTCGTGGTCTTGTCGATTAAGATCGGGAAAAAATTGACATTCGTTGATGAACGTTCACCGATCGCCAACGGAACTAACTCTTCCCGCTCTGCTTTGAGGCCCACACTCACTTCCTGCCAATTCTTTATCTATTCGATCAAAATAGACAGGACGAGTCTGTGGTTCAATGGTTGGGGCGTTTGCGTTCTAACCAACAGACACCTAATTCAAAACGTCGGGGGTTGCAATCCCCCGGGGTTGGGCAGGGCTGGCTGATAAATGATCACAAATGGTCATTCCAGACTCCCTTGGCTTTCTGGGTAATGTTCTGGGCAGCTGCTGTCGGAGCTCGAAAATGAGCCCCCAGGCACAATAGGAAGAGTATGCACCTTAATGCGATTCATGAGCGCCCATCTACCACTTTCTACCGTTTAACTTTTCTTATTTTTACGAGCAGGATATTCTGTTAAGTACCTTGCTTCGTGCAGAAATCTGTCACGTACAAAGTGCGACACCGGCAAGAGTCACAATAACAATATGAAAAAAATTACGTAACTGTTTGACGCGTTTTTTTAAAAAAAACATTCTTCAAGGCACCGCATCCCATGTTTTTATCCTTATCTGTTTTTCTTGAAGACTTAGTACTTGTTACAACCTTGTGAGAGCACCTGCGTCGACACTTTTTATATCCCCCAGTTGTATTTTTGGAAGAGAAGGCAGAACGGGATAGCAGATAATGGTTTACTGTAACTGTTTCTGCTTGTACATCAACTCTGTCTTCTGTGTGTCAAGCAGCTTGGTATCTGTCCGTCAGCAGCGTGTCTTCTGTCGCCGGTAGCGCGCTCTCGGGTCGGGCAACAGCTCTCCTGTCAGCAGTAGTATCCCGTCTCGACAA